GCTCTATTCCAGAGAGTTCGAAACACTGAAATGAGGTTCAGGCTTCTTTTTCTTTTTTAAAATATGCTAAAGCGACAGGTCAAGGCTGAACTAAGCTTAAATGCTTTTCACCCTCTACAGGTTGCCTCAGTGAAAGTAAAATGATAATGATGATAAGAATGTCAATTTAAGGCGCTCTTACTATGTGCCGACATTGTACTGAGTGCTTTACGTACTTTATCTTAGGTACCAATTGGTTTGTGGGAGTGTGTGCCGTGACTGCAGCCACGTGCTTTTGTGCATCCCGCATTCTAAGTACAGTCTATGTTGGAATTTTTCTCCTAATACGTCACAGGGGCCATCAAGCATGAATACCTTTCAGCAGCTGGCGCCTCTCCTGGAGAATTGGGATTCACGTGCTTCGGTCCCTCCTCCTTCCCGTGTGGGAGGGAGCCGTGCTTCCCATCCCTGCAGAGCACTCTGCCACCTCTTCCTTTCCTCCCTCAGGATCCTTCCTTGCAGTCACCCCTTCTTTCCTGTATCTTCTATTTCACTACCCCATAGCTGCCCTCTCCTCATCTTAGATCTACTCACTCTTTTTTTTTTTTTTTTCTTGGCCTTGGAGGATTTCCTTTTCTTTCGTATGAGCTTAGTCATTTAAAAGTTTGCTGATTTTATCCATCATTGATAGGTAGTTTTTTGGCGGGACCCTGGGGGGTGGGGTTGGGTGGGAGTTGCCATACTGTGAGAAGTGCAACTTCTTTTCTTTGGTGGCGTTCGGTCTTCGTTGCTGCGCGCGGGCTTTCTCCAGTTGCGGCGAGCCGGGGCTACGCTTCATTGCGGTGCGCGGGCTTCTCACTCTGGAGGCTTCTCTTGCTGCGGAGCACGGGCTCTAGGTGCGCAGGCTTCAGTAGTTGTGGCACGCGGGCTCGGTAGCTTTGGCTCACGGGCTCTAGAGCACAGGCTCAGTAGTTGTGGTGCACGGGCTTAGTTGCTCTGAGGCATGTGGGAACTTCCTGCACCAGGGCTCGAACCCGTGTCCGCTGCATTGGCAGGCGGATCCTTAACCACTACACCACCAGGGAAGTCACAGAAGTGCAACTTCTTAACAAGAAGTTGATGAGTGATCAGTTTCAGCTGTGGTATACTGGCGCTGTGTTAATCTCTCTCTAGTAAGTTCCTAGCACCTTAAGACTTTGCTACTTACTCGGAAATATGGGGACAATCTTTGAAAACGGCTTCCTCTGTAAAATTTCAGGAGGCTTTGCAACTTGGATCCGTCGAAGGGTTGGAGTCTTCGTTTTATTGACCTTTCACAGCAAAAGTTCCTGTCCCAATGTGCTCAGGATGCAACTCAGAAACTCCCCTGACACCCTCCCCTCCCCTCCCTCCCACACTGGAGGACCAGCTTGGGAGTTCCAATGCGGTCCGGGGACTTGGGGCCTCAGTCAGTCTGTGCAGACTTAATTTTACACTTTAAAACTCCCCTGACTAAAGCAGTTTATCTTTTCAGCTAGAGACCCACCACCCCCTGGGCCCCCCCCCCCCCCACCCGGGTAGAGTTAGTGCCTGTAAATCTCTGATTACTGTCAAATTAAATTAGATGCCTCCCTTTGCTGATCATTGATCACTGCCTTTTCCTTAACTTCCAGTTCAGTTTTTCCCTCTTCAGTTGTTACAGATGAAGTTGATTAAATGGTTTTGTGTAATCAAGAACGGATTCCATTTTCAGTATTATCAATGCAGAGCTTATAAGTTTAAGGTCGCTTACAAGTAAGGGTGTTTAAAAATAGAGAGGGAGCTTTATGGAAAACTTTCTCCAGGTGAGGCTGCCTAAGGGTTCAGGGTTTTCACTGAGGGACTCTCAGAAACAGTAGAACTTGGGAACCAAGATGGCAAATGATGGTGGAACAGACACCTGGTGTGTTAGTTTCCTGCTGTAATGCCTTATCACCAACTTGGTGGCTTAAAACAACAGAAATTCATTCTCTCACAGTTCTGGAAGCCAGAAGTCCAAAATCGATTTCATTGGGCCAAAATCAAGGTGTCGACAGGGCTATGCTCCCTCTGATGGCTCTAGGGGGATCCGTCCTTTGCCTCTCCCAGCTTCTGGTGGCTGCATTATTCCTTGGCTTGTGGCTCATCCCTGCCATCTCTGCCCCGTTCGCCACTTCTCTGTGTATTCGTGTGAAATCTCCCACTGCCTCTATTTTATAAGGACACTTGTGATGACATTTAGGGCCCATCCAGATAATCTAGGTTAATCTCATCTCAACATCCTTCACTTTTTCCAAATAAGGTCACTTTCACATGGTCCACAGATGGGGCCTTAATGTCTTTGGGTGGCCATTATATAACCTACTCCAGGCAATTAAAGAGCTAAATAAATTATCCTAATAATAATTGTGTGCTCTGTTAAGAAAGGCAGATCGTTTTACTGCTGGGTTTTCAGACTGCTTATTCAGAGTACATTTGAGGATTTCACTGCCAAAGGGTGTAATTTTTAAAACACTGCAACGTAGACTCGAGCAAAGACAGAATCTAATTGTACTTTCCAGCATTCTTCTTTCTCTCCACCTCCACAAGATAATGGATATATATTTGTATGTATATATATGTATAGGTATGTGTTATACATATATACACACAAATGAGTACAGTTTTTAAAGCTTTTAGTTTCATACGTACTGGACTCGTAGGCCAAACTACAGCCCACTTCTGTGGGCTGACAGCACCAGCCTCTCATGCCAGGGACAGTACAGGCCCCCAGCTTGTCTGGTCCAATGGCTGATTGTCCCTTCTTAGTCATATCTTTGGTTTAAGGGCCTGAAAATCTCCATTAATACGGGTGAAGGTGGTCCAAAGATACACACTTCTGGTTATAAGTCCTGAGGATGTAATGCACAGCCTGGTGACTGCAGTTAACAATACTGTATTGTATATTTGAAAGTTGCTAATACCGAAGATCTTGATAGTTGTCATTACACACACACACAGATTTGTAACTGTGGTGATGGATGTTAACTGAACTTACTGTGGTGACCATTTCCCAATATATACATATACCAAATCCTTATGTTGTACACCTAAAACGAATACAGTGTTACAGGTCAATTATATCGCAATTAAAAAAAAATTAAAAAAGACTGTTCCCCAGAAAAGATAATAGCTTAAACTGTTACAGCTATTTTTGCTTCAATGGTTAAAAAAAAAAAGGTTCACTGATTTGCTCGGTTAGTGACCTGTTGTTCACTCACTGTTTATAAAGTGCTGTGTGTGGTGAGCGGGGAGCAGTCCCTGTTTTAAGGGAGGGGTGGGAGCTTTAAATGGTATCACAGACAGTGGGTGTGGTGAGAGCGTAAGGAAGGAGGGTTGAAGAGACTTCCAGGAAGGGAGGTGGGCCTGGAGTTAGCGTCTGCAGGACCAGGCGGATTTGAAGGGGTGGAGTGGGCTTGTGAGTGCAAGCTTGGAGAGTAGCAGAACGTGTGGTCTGGGCAGCGAGGAGACCTGCCCCGGGGAACTGGGAGTCGGGGCTGGACAGTGGCGGGGCTGATGGGGAGGGAGCTTCAGGGCTGGGCTGAGGCTGTGGACCTTGCTCTGTGGGCAGCAGGGAGCCGCCGAAGAGCTTTAAGCAAGAAATCAGAGTTCCAGACCCACTGATTTCGAGTATGAATTCAAGGGGCCAGGATGAGCATCGAGAAAAAGAGGGAGCATGCTGATGTCATGGCCAGGCTAGTGGTGGATAGACTTTTACTTTATTTTATTACAAACTTCTGTCAAGAAAATAACGTTTGAGCCCCTTGCTGCAAACATGTATCTATCTATCTATCTATCTATCATCTATCAATCATTTGCTGGTTGATCTATATCACACCTCTGCACATTGAGTGCATTATGAAGCTGTTAAAAAATATAATTACAAAAAAGGAAATAAATAGAAATGGAAGGTCCACTGTTTTTGTCCTGCAGCCCAGTGGCTTGGTAGCCTTGTATGAGAACATCCCTTGGGTTGCTGGAATCTCACGTAGAGACAATGCGTCTGGGCGCTGTGAAGCAAGGTCCTAAATGAACCCGACCTGGCATGGGAACAGAGAGGAAGGGAAAGTGAGGAAGGCAGTTAGCAGAAGTCATCGACCTGATGTCCCTGGCTGGTCACATTAGAGAGGAGCGAAGACATAGTAAGAAAAGAGGAGGGCCAAACGGTGGTGTGCTTTAAGGCCAGGTGAGTGGATTGGTGACAGCCGTTGAAGGAAGGGAGAGTGGGGAAGGGTGCAGACTTGGGCAGAAGGGACAGTCTTCCCTTCCCCTCCCTCATGCCATCGTTACTTCCATTCTCCTGTCCCTCCCTCCCCCCTTCCCTCCCTTTATACAAAGCTGGAGGGTCCACACATGTGACATGTTGACTCTGGGGGAAGTGACCCAGGAGGGGCATCCAGTGGGCAGTTGAGATACCTCTCTGGACCTGGGGCCAAGAGATAACCTGTACAGTGATTCACCATTGGACAGAGGTGGCCTGGCCTGAGGTCCTGGTACAGGGCAGAGAAAGGGTTGGGAGGAAGGGCAGGGGTGCCACATCACTGGGCGTTGCATCCCCCAGCTCCCTAAACACGCCCTAGAACTGAAGATGGGGCAGATTTGGTCGTTTCAGAAATGGAGTCATGGGGGGACCCAACTTGGAGGGATGGTGGCGAGGCCGGAGAGGGAGCGGGGAGGGGCCCTTTGCTGGGGGAGAACTTGGTGCCTCGCCCTGCGGAGAACCCAGTTCACGCCGACTCTTCAGGGAGGCTTCCGGACCACCGTTGGAGTTTGCTTGAGTAAATTTCATTCTCTTCCTTCACAATTGAATCTTTTGATCTTCGCTGATGTTACATCTTTCTTTTCTCCCTTGATGCTATTTCAGATAAAGTTTTTCTCCTGGTGCAGACGGGTAGCTATGTATTTTCCTAGGGTTTTGTGAATAGTCAGGGAATAAACTTTGCCTGCAGTGCCTGACAACAGCCATATTCTTGGTGTCTCCTTAGGTGGCCATAAAAGTCATCGACAAGAAGAGAGCCAAAAAAGACACCTATGTCACCAAAAACCTTCGGCGAGAGGGGCAGATCCAGCAGATGATCCGCCACCCTAACATTACCCAGCTCCTTGATATCTTAGAGACAGAAAACAGCTACTACCTGGTCATGGAGCTGTGTCCTGGGGGCAACCTGATGCACAAGATATATGAGAAGAAGCGGCTGGAGGAATCCGAAGCTCGCAGATACATCAGGCAGCTCATCTCTGCGGTGGAACACCTGCACCGGGCTGGGGTGGTCCACAGGTAAGGGCCACGCCATGATGCTGATCGCCAGTTCTGTGCTGAGTGGATGGCACTGTGCTTCAGCGTGCTCCAAGCAAGGCTGAATCCTTGCAGCATGTTTTACAATTCTTCTGCAGTTTTGTTTCATGGACTTGTTTTGTGAGTTGGGTTAATGCTAACATGGGCTTAAAAGAATAATGTTTGAAGCCAGAGTTGCCTGGGTTTGCATCCTGGCTCTCTCCTTTAATTGTTGTGTGCCCCTGGGCTAGTTAGTTAACCTCTCTGAACCTCAGTTTCTTCTTCTGTAAAATGGGAATATTCATGATACTTATCTCGTGGTTGGTATAAGGGGAAATGAGTTAATATACAGAAAGAGGGACTTCCCTGGTGGTCCAGTGGTTAAAACTCCACTCTCCCAGTGGAGGGGGGCTGGGTTCGATCCCTGGTCGGGGAACTAGATCCTGCATGCCGCACGGCATGGCCAAAAAAAAAAAAAAAAAAATTAAAGAAACACTATATATATACGGAAAGAGCTTGGAACAGCGTTTGGTACATAGTAAGGGGCATGTTTAGTGTTGGCGGCTCTCATTATTATTATTTGCAAAGTAATGAGAACAGTTGTTCAGGTGCCTGAAAGAAGCATCAATGTTAAGATGGCGTGAGATTGTTTTTCAGCAAGTGATGGTGCTTTCATCGTATTTGCTTTACATATGGTAGTTGCTTAATAGCTGTTTCATTCAATGGAATTGAATCACCACGTGAAGTGTGAACTTGCCCTTGAAAGTTAGGCATGTTCTCCATAAGCCAAACCAACGTTGCAAATAATTATGAAAATCAAACTTTTTTTTTTAAACAGCCTGTTCCTTCCTGAGGAGGAGCTTTGCAAGCAAACTGAGCGGAAACAGGACTCTTAGCAGTGTTGCCGTTGGTGGTGGGTGCTGACTTTTAGTGCTAGACTAAATAAGGTCAATACGATACAATAAAATAAAAAAATGAGTGCCCTCT